AAGAGTGGTCGGGTTGTGCCCGACCACTCAATGATACGAACTCAAGAATCGTCGTCATAATTGTCTTCCAACATCACAAGCGATAAAACCTCCGTATATCAAAGTTAAAATATTCAACAAAGTCCGTTTGAAGGCCCGTCTTAAAAAAAGTGGAATATATAAATCATATTGTTTGCCTAACCAGGGTTGTTAATAAAGATATTGTGCACTATAGTTGTTGACAGTTGTTGAAACAAGTATTCTGTGTCATTTTCTTCGTTGTTCCAAACAGTCAGAATGCACACTAATATGCTTTTTTTTTTTTTTAACGAAACAGGTTTTAGGGCCATTGCTTTCAAATGGTCATATTCTCTGAACGGATTTTTGTAATTTTGTTCATCTAAAAGAGGTTTATGAAATTGGCTTTCCAGTCATTAATATGTTTGGTGCTATATATATTTTTTTATTAAATATGAAATATGTTTTTGGAGTTTGGGTTCTACTTTTTATAATTCACCCCGTAGCGCCACTTTCGGGTCCGATTGCATCAAAAATGTCTAAATTGGAGGCCCCAAGTCCGGGCCAGAGGTGTATTGCAGTGTCTCTTCAAATTCCCCGATTTCATGGCTCTCAGAACCCTCCAATGTAGAACAAATGGAGTGTATAACTTTTATTCATGAGCTCGGCGGACTGATATTTGGCCTATATTTTTACAAGGGCGGATCCAGAACACAATTTTTTGGGGGGGGGGCCAAAAAAAATTTTGTTCCCCCCAAAAAGTGGGTCTAAAAAATTACGGCGTGGGGTTCGAAAAATTTTTGGATTCTAGATGCTCTGTGGTGCGATCTGAGGCAATTTCTGACCACTTTAACCAATTTTTTTTGAGGAAAAGATGGTGGTGTACTCATTGCCTGCCTTTATTGCGATGTCACATTAAAAAAAAAAAAAATTGGTTTCGTTTTTGGGGGGGGGGGGGGGGGGGCCATGGCCCCCTTTGGCCCCCCCCTGGATCCGCCCTTGTATTTTTACCGGTGTGCACCCATAGATCTACTACAAGAAAGCCGGATCCGGCATAATATCCACTTGACATTTTTCTACGCATTTTCAGCCATGTTGTTGCGAAGGTCTTAGCGTCGTTGTTGTTAGACAAAGTTAATTCTATTACGTACTTGGACGCTACAGGCAGAAAAGTGAAATTCATGCACAACCCCCCCCCCCGAAAACAAAGGCTGTTTCGGCTGGTTGCCGAAACAGCCAATTAATCAATTTCCACTTTGACCAGGTTCAGTAGCAGTGCCCTGAAGGAATACTTACAATGGGCAGTTTGGCTGTTGGGCATGGGCACGATATGCTTTTGTGTAATGTTCGCATGACGATCATCAAATTTCGTTAAAAAACTTCGTACAAACAAATCGTCAATATTTGGATGTATTCCTACTTTGCCGGACAATATTGGAATTCCCACTTTGCCCAGCCGGACAAAGTGGGAATTCCAACTTTGCGCGGATTCCAACTTTCCCCGAGACACCGGCATTATCTGGGGAGCAACCTGCGACGGACCTGCATCCCATCCAGGCGAATAGTAAATATTCTCTGTCGTTTCATGGTACTGAACCGGGAGATAAACGCCGACCTTACATGCCATATTGGCTCGGGTCAGTCTCCATTTACTTTTAGACTCCTATTAAGGCAAAATTCCGAAAACAAAATTCGACGCATAAGTTTACATAACTGTTGAAATATTTTGTAACTTCTGTTTTCCCCCAAAACAATTACGAAAGTGTCCCTGCCCCTTCAAGAGACCGTTTGTCCAAAATTGTGTGTCAACGTAAAATTGTTGACTCTTTTTTTTTTACTGCAAAAACATAAATGATTCTCATTTCCGGCTTATTTCGCCATTTTCCCCAAATAGACGCTCCGCTCACAAAAAAAAGGTCAGCAAAAGATGGGTATGTACATTCTTTATTTTGACTGAAAAAAACCCCACTCTTCTGGGGTTATAAAAATGGCATCAGGTGGATATGGGTTTTAGAGTGATTTAGTAATAATCCCCGAAATTTTAAAAGAATATACCCAATATATACAAAACAGCGACCGTGTGGTGCCCGATCACCATAATAAAGGCTGCCGTACTCAAGGACAATTAATTTCACTCAAAAGCGTGATCACTGAAGCCTTTCTTTGTTTTATGTTGTCATTTATAATAACCGCCGGAATATAAACAAAGGAACACATTCATCAAGTGCTTGCTTTCTGCCTAATTGCTTGCCAGTATTGTTGATATTATATTTAATATGAATTAATGACCTTCCTCCATCGTTGATGTTTAATGATGATATTGCACTTAAATGCAAGGCCAGTAGACAAGCGCGGCTAACAAGCAAGCTTAATACTGAGACCTCATAGTGAGTACATTCATGTACATCTTCCTGATCCGAAAGTCACAGGGAGCAATGATATTTAGAAGAAGTAACAATATTCAAACGATATGAGACAGGGAGGTACTGATAAAGGGGGTGAATCAGTCGTATGTAATGAGTATGAAGACAAAAATGGCTCAATTCCTTTTAAAGTATGAAGAAGTCAGCCTATAGAGAATAGGCCTTCCTTTTCAATAATATAAGACAAATTACTGTCGTTTGAAATTAAAATTAATTTTTTTTGCCACGGTTGTCACTATTTTTATTATAGGTTTTCCCGGCTATTTTAAAACGTTCATTATTCGAATTCACTGTTTCTAACATTCAAATTCGTCCATCAACATCGATTTAGTGCACTTCCAATGTTTAATTTTATTTTTTTGTCAAATTTAAATAATGAGCACTCGTTTCGCCCCGGAGTATTCGTTCTCGTCTCGTCTACGCCAAACCTTGTTATTCAGAAATTAAATTCGTCTAATTGATTTATATAAGATGAATTCGATTTCTGAATGCCGGCTGCAAGGCGAAGTTGATCGGTAATGTCGAAATTGATCTGTAATGTCGAATATCGACCCGGTGACTAAAGAGGGTGACCAAACTTTGAAATTAAATGGTAAATGACTAAAGTGGTTTTCTTTTTAAAGCATGTGAAATTTTTCTCGGACGAAATTGAATGTAAGAGTTGGTGCATTGGAATGAAGAATGTTTTAAATAGTCGGGAAACCTATAGTATCTTAGAACGTAGCATTGCCAAGGCCTTTATGGTGATATTTTTCCTCTCATCAATTGGATCATAAAGTGAGCCTCGTTCATTTATAATGCAGTAACTCCGGGAAAATATACAAAAGAGACACAACCATTAATTGCTAGCTTTCTGCCTCGTCTTCCCGCCCAAAATCAATTGGGCATCGATGAAAATAAATAAATTAAGTCAAATTATCCATGACATTTCAATTGTATAGTTCACTGAAAAGCAGAGCCAACATAAAAAAAATTTCAAAGGGGAGTACTCCCTGTACTTATGGTTTTTCATCACAGAGTACGCATAACCCTTGGTTTTACCCATCGGATACGCACCAAGGGAGGCGATTTGGAGGGGACAGCGGCGTCGAAAGTGGCGTCGACAGTGGAATCTCCGGGGGGGGGAGGGGGAGGGAGGGGAGATTGCCATGTAGGCATATTAATGGTTTGAGCTTAGTGGTAGCCCGCTAGCCAAATGCAAGGTAATACAGCAGCGGGCTTTTCAAAGCACTGGTTACATTACAGTGTAATAATTCGTTTGTCTTGTTAATGACTTTTACTTTTTAAGGAGATAATTCAAGGGGGAATTAATATAAATTATGTGGTTGCTAAAAAAAAAGTCTCCGGTTTCTGGTATGGAGCTTGCCCAAACAGTGGTGCGGCGACGCGGCTTTTTTTTTTTTTTTTACCTGATTTTTTTGCTTCAAATGTCGGCTGATGACTGCAAATGGTCCTCGACTAAACTTAGTGCAAATATATGGGAGTCCAGAGAGGCCACATAAAGCTTATTCTCGACCATAACCCAATCTAAAAACACGTTAAAATTGTGCAGCAGCAGGATTCCAGTCAAACCAGTGAGTTTGGCGGTTTTGAGACATCATCTTTCATTGAAAAAAAAACTTTTTCATTTTGCTGACGCGCATGGCTACGGCGACGCGCGCGCATACCAGAAACCGGAGACATACCAAGTCGTAACCGTTTTCACGAAGAGGCGAATTAAGTATTTCACAGTCTGAGCAAACATTCGAGATAATCGCGTTCAAATTTGGTCTTTTTTTCATTTGACAATTTGAAACTTAAAGATGCATAAAATATGCAAGATTTAGGTATCAGAGGAAAGAAGAGATTCTAATCTTCCTACATGTAGCAAACTTTAGGGGGAAAAAGGTGATTAGTTTTGCAGAATTAATCAATTAAGCAAAAGTGGCTGTTCGTGAAAACGAAAAAACCCCGACCAATTAGCAAATTCGCCCCTTCGTGAAAACGCTAAAGTGAGTACGCGCAGATTTCGCCCTTCTGCGGTCTGAGTCAATGCATGTTTTGTACAGTATGCCCAGATTCTGCCCCACTGCGCGTGCGCTTTGAAATTCGCCCCTTTGGGAAAACGTTTTATTGCACGCGCCTGAAATTCGCCCCTTCGTGGTTACGCGTCTTTGTATTACAATGTATTTATTTACTGAAAATGTATTAATACTATAGAGTGCGGAAATTCGCCCCTTCATGAAAATGCAAAACGGCACTTGTGGCAAATTCGCCCATTCGTTAATTAGGTTAATTCAGATTTTAATTAATTTTTTGAAAGTATAGCCTCACCAGGTTGTAGATATTGATATATTTATTCATTTTCACCAAAAAACAAATTTGGAAAAACAGGCGATTTTCATGAAATTCGCCCCTTCGTGAAAACGGTGACGAAGTTTCATAACACATTTCTAAGATCAGGAGAAGGCGGATTCCGCGCCCGGCCGTGATGTCCATTAAAAAAAATGATTGTTTTAATGAACCCGGCCCCACCCTGATCGATATTTTCCACTACCTCCGACAGATGATTTGAAGTGCTCTAAGGGAGGACCCTTTGGGATGGAAGATGGTCGCATCTCAGATGCAAGCATCACAGCGTCGTCAGTGCTCTTCAACTCGGCCAAGTACCTACCCACCAGGGCTCGGCTTGAAAGTAACTTTTATTTTCGTTCAACGTGTACATGGGATGACGAATACGACAACTCAAACAAAAACAATTCGCCAAAAGTGACAAAAAATGTTAAACGTTTAAGACTCTCCTCGGAGGGGTGGTGCTTCAAAGTGAAGTCTGCTTTGCTCAATTGTAAAACTACACATTTTGTGGTCAGGAACTTTCACAAGTAGGAACTTTCACAAGTTTCACAAGTCGCTTATTCCTCAATGGCTGACTGTCATATAGAGATGCTAAGCACAACATACAGCCTGGTCCCCCCCCCCAAAAAAAAAAATGCTGCAAGCAGAATCGGGCTCTGTTTCCTTGGAATATTGAAAAATGTTTCATGATGCTTATATAATGTTACACCTGGGATATTCAGCTTTCAAATGTTAGCTATTTGTTTTATCAATTTTGCTTTGCCAAACCAAAGATAATGGTCCGTTGAGCACATGCAAACACTCAAACTTGTGCCACTTTCCGTAAGTTGATACTATAAACAGAAATTGCCCGTACATGTATTATACACATGTATGATCGTGCAGAAATACAACTTGTAATGAATAGGTGAAGAAACACTTTAGTTATTCATATTATAATGTTCTTTTTATTATTTGTAACACACTCTCCAAATCATCATAATAAAAACATATCTTCTGGAATTGCGAACTGTAAATGAAGTCGGATTTGAACAGGTGCCATGTCTTGCCATGTCATTATAGGCCTAATAATGTAGAAATGGCACAAATTGATTTTTGAGTGTTTGTGTTCAACGGACTATAGTCTCGAACTTGGCAAAAGCAAAATTGAAAGCAAAACATTATATAAGCATAATGAAGTATTTTTCAATATTCCAAGGACACAGAGTCCGTTTCTGCTTGCAGCATTTTTTTGGGGGATAGGCTGTATAAAACACATAAAGGAGGAGCGTTACCAGCAGAAAGTCTGTGCATTGCTTGTGACTATTTCTCTGCCGATTTTTGATTTGCACATAAAACTGGCCATGCGATACTTTCTCCTTATTATCCGCTTACTTTGCAAGTGTAGCCGCTCCCAGGTGTAATGCTTGTGGCAGGTTGTCAGTTTTTGCTTAGCACATAACTTTGCTTAGCAGTATTTTATGCTCAGCATGTTTGATTATCTGCTTACTCTACAGCTTTGGCTGGTGCCTGGTGTAATAATGGATCTAGTGACGCCAATCCATGGATCCAAGTCGACCTTGGTTCCCATGTCACCATCACTGGCGTTATCACGCAGGGGCATGGGGAGGGCTACACTCAATGGGTGACAGAGTTCAAAGTGGCCTACAGCGACGATGGCCAAGAATGGACTGACGTCACCGATGATGGATCAAGTACACCGAAGAAGGTAGTCCAATCACATTGTTCAATTTGCCCTTTCACCGATGTAATTCCATAAACACTGTATACTCAGTGTTGCCCGAGGGTTTGTGAGAGAAAATTAACAATCTTATTCAAGCGGTCGGGACTCGAACCCATGACCTCCCGTTTATGGGTGCTGATTTTGTTTGGAAATGAATCTAGATCAGATTCGAACCAGTCACAGACCCAGGCAAGCTTGCTGGTCGAGTGGTAAGACATTCGCACTAGTAAGCACAATGTCGTGGGTTCAAGTCCCACCCAAGTAAGCATCTATCTCTTGAATTTAAAAGTAAACGAAAAAGAAAGTATACTAAGAAGGGAAAAAGGCCACTGGATTCGTTGTCAGATCGACTTATGTTTCCTTCCAACCATTTTTCAATCAACAAATCTGTTGTCTTGCGTAAGTGTTTTAAATCCTTAATTATTTTTCTGATTCTACAATGCCCTGAAATCAAAGATTATGCACGCCGTAGGACGAGGGCTCCCTCTATCGCTCCTGCTGAAACCGTGTGACTGCAAGGGAAAATTCATCCCATTAACCTTTCAACGCTGGTTTAAAAAATCGTGTTCATTTATTCCACAGTTCCCTCGAAACTCGGACGGAGACACCCACGTGACCACTACTTTCCCAGGGGCTTTCCAGGCCAGGTTCCTGCGTATCCTGCCGACTCAGTGGAACGTATACTGCTGTATGCGATTTGAAGTCCTCGGCTGCACAAATAATGAGTAAAGTCCATCGATGCTAGCTTGTGAAAACCTAGCTCTAGTGCTGGCTGGAAATTCGACAAATTGGAGCATGGGGATATATAACTCATAGATGCGTGGTGTAAAATTTAAGAATGCTTCAGTCAAAACATAAAGACACATAGGATCATTTGCAGTTACCCCGATTCGTACCCAGCGATTTAACAAGAAAATCCTCGCTCAAAATGAAGATAGGACTGGTAACCAGTTCCCTGCCTGAAATGGTATCATTCGGGACAGGGGCGGCAGAACCGGGGGGGGGGGGGGGGGGGGGGGGGGGGTGGCTGGGGGGGGGGCCTTTTCCCCCCAGATTTTCCAAAGTGCCCCTTTTGCGGCCATAAATGTGCCCCCTCGAGCATTAAAGTGTCCCCTCGAGTTAAAACAAAAATGCCCTTAAAGTATCTTACTATTTCTTAGAAGTAACCATTTCCCAATATTGGTAGCGATATGTTTGATATAAACGAGGAATATGAAAACCAAGTCCCAAAACCCATACAAGACGCCCTGAAAAGACGCCCTGAAGAGCGCCCCCTATGTTGGAAGATGGTACCAGCCCCCCCCCCCCCCCCCCCCCACACACACACACTATTTGATTTTACGGAGGCCAAGTGTCCGGTGAAAAAAACGTGGCGACATTTCAGCACGGGTTTGCAAGTGCCCCTTTTGGTTTGCAAGTGCCCCTTTTGGGTGCTGCCCCCCCCCCTCCCCAGTTTCAAACCCGTTCCGCCGCCGCTGATTCGGAAGAAACAACCTTTGAAGGTGATTTTGGAAATTTGCCTACAGGCACAGCCTTGTACGTGCGTTAGCAACGCAATTTTTTTTACGAGACGCCAACAAATTGTGCATTTGTTCTCAAAATGTCAGGCGCGGATCCAGAGGGGGGGGGGGGGGGGGTCAACCCCCCCCAGCTCTGTCAAAAAGAAAAATTATCATACAAATTCCTAAAAAATAAGTCGAAACCCCCCCCCCCCCCCCCCCCCGCTGTGACACCCCCCAAAATAATTATACTGGTATAATGTCCGCCTGTTCAAAATACGGTACACCATCCTCCAGAGCCCCCATATATGGACGCTACGACTTGTTTCCACCTCCTACGTTCCGAGTGAGGGTTATGACGGAGGGACCCGTAACCAGTCTAACGGTTAACCCAGGTTTAAGACATAGACTTTTCCACAGTTTTGAAATGTCCAATTTTCCAGTGAGCTTTAGAGGCAGGAATTTCCCGTGCTACACTGATGCTGGCAAAAGAAATCAGTTGGATTAAAAAAAAATTATGGTGAACAGAATTTAAATTTACCTTTTTTCAATTTTTTTGCTAAGCATATTTTAGATTCTTAGTGGTACAATCTGTAATAAAATACAAGGGCATATAATTACGTAATATCATTTTTGCATGTAGAAAAATAATGGTGAAAGGGATATTTTTGGGAAACCAGCGAGAACATGAAATTGTTTTCACTCAAAATACAATTCTCTTAAATGTGCACTTTTGGCCGGTTGCGCTCTTTTGGGCTCTAAAAACGCATTTCTCACGAAATAATAATCGTTGGAAAGATTGATGACCAGTAGAATATAAACGTGCACACAACTATACCTTGAACTAGAACGGCGAAGTCGCCATGGCACGCTGTCGAAGGCGGGAAGGGAGGCTGGAGGTAGGGTTGGGGATGGGCATCATGGGGATCAGGATTCTCGTTGATGTGCCAAGGTGTAGGGGTCAGTTTTTAAATGTCAACATAAAAAGTCAATAGATGACCTAATAAATACATGTGTATATAGGTTAGCCGTTACTGCATTATGGGGAAGTTTTCCATTGTTAGGGTAATTAGGACCCAGTTGTGGAGCCTTTTTTGCAGCACCCACAGTGTCTTCGGGTCCCCGTACTTGTATTACCATGGGAAAACTCGTGTGTAGTCCCCACAATTAAATGTGGAACAAGAATGCCCGGGTATACATGTACATGTAGACAAAGCACCATCACCACATGCCCCAAACCTTACCCCATCCCCGAACCCCCTACCCACACCCATCCCATCCTCCCCCTACCCATCCCCACCCATACTCCAATCCCTATCTCCTTCCCCAAACCCACTACACCCACCTTCCCTATAATGCCCCTATCCCTCCTTACCCACCCCTACACATCCCCACCCTAACCCCTACTCGAATCCCTATATCCCGCCCACCCCCAATCCCCCTACCCATACTGACCCATATCTCCCCACCCGACCCCAACCCCTACTCCGATCCTTATATCCTGCCCCTCCCCTTATACCCAACCCTATATACCAACGCTACCCATCCTCACCCACCCCTACACATCCCCACCCTAACCCTACTCAAATCCCTATTTCCTTCCCCCTCCCCGACCCCCTAACCCTCCCCTACCTGTCTCCACCCCACCCATACATTTGTACACATCCCCAACCCACCCAAACCCAGTGTTCCAACCCCTATCCCCCACCCCAACCCACCCACCCCACCCCACCCCACCCTAGCTCCCCTACCCATCCCTATACCAACCCAAACCCCAACTCCAACCCCTATCCCCCACCCCTACCCCCCCCCCCCCCCCCCCCCACCCTACCCCCCACCCCCATCCTCCCCTACCCCATCCCTACTCCAACCACATAAAACTAAAAGTTCAAGTACATGCACATCCCCGAAATGCATAGTGTAAATGTTATATCGGTATACATACATGTGCATGTCATACCGGTTTACATGAACATGTATGAATGCCTGCACTTTTGAATAACGCTATGCAGAAATCAGTACAGCAGCAGACAAACTGCGTCATCCCATTTTAGAAAAGCAAGCAAGCGCATTTCAGTTTTGAGGTGGTTTCTGAGTTTCAGGTAAATTTTCTCCGACTTGGGTCCATTTTATTGCTCACAAGAGGCCCCCAAGCCACCAAAAGCGTGCGAGCTCATTATTATTTTGTGATCCCAAGGGTAATTTTGAATAAGGTCCTTTAGGCCTGTAATCGTGATTGATTGTAGAAGTATTTTATGTAAATAAAGTATTTATGACTTGTGGCTTCAAACCAGGGCGAATTTGTTCAACCCCCCCCCCCCCCAAAAAAAAACCCAACTGTCGGTCTATTTCTCATAGAGGCCGGGGTTAAATTTAGGCCTGAGAATGTTTAAAGGGAGTGTACATTTGCTTTTACTGCAATTTTCAGAAATAAATGTCAACCCCCCCCCCCCCAAAAAAAAATCTTGTATACTTTCCCAGCATATTCTCAATTTATCATTTTTCGCAGGTGGGCAGGACATTGAATTAACAAGATGACTTTGCGCCTCCTTTTTTCTCTCTTCTTTATTAGCTTTTCCAGAAGGCGGGGGGGGGGGGGGGGGGGGGGGGGAGGGGAAGCGCCCGCCCCCTTCGCGATGCCCAAGCTTGCTGCCCATCCCACTTAAACATTCTCAGTTAATTGCATGTAATGTTAAAGATGTTTGTGCATTCACTACTTGCAAGCTCATAACATCAGTCAGTACCAATAAAATACTCAATACCAAACTCATCTGGTTTTCTCCACTTTTAAGTTAAAGGTATTTTATTCAATAAATATATTTAATTTATAAATTTTATTTGTTCCACATGCGGAACAAATAAGACACAAATATAAACATGTCAATTACGCAAAATACAAATTGAGACAAAACAGACGGCTGAATACATAACAAAGAGAGGTGCATGTTGTAAACTGTTTAAATGCACATTCATAAATACCTAAGACAGTTTACGCATTCCTATTGGTCGAGAGCCCGTCACGTGGCCGGTCTTAAACGGATGATAAAGACATGGCTAGCTGGTCTTAAACACTTTTCCAGTGTCACAATAAAATGTGGACTCCTAAAAATCCAGTGCCTCTAATCGTTTCATTGGTTGAACGTTCACAATCCTCACGTAGGCATGCGCAATACTACCAGGGATTTAGAATTTTAAAGTTCTAAATTCAAAACGCAACGCGCCAGGTGCGTTCTATGATACGCGCGCGTCAATCTTCATAAAAGGGTTGTTTACATCTTACTCGCCAGCTGAACACTCCATTATTTTGCAAGAGGGATGTTTCAAAAAGCATAAAGTGAATTTGTTGAACAAAATCGGGATGTTTTGAACGAATTATATGATTTTTTCTTACCGAAAAGGTATTAATGAATGGGAATAAATATGTGCTCCGTCGGTATTATCATTCTGTTTAAGACCACTTAGAGTCTGGGTGCTGATAATTACCCTCGCCTCCGGCTCGGGTAATTATCAGCACCCAGACTCTAAGTGGTCTTAAACAGAGTGATAAAAACCTCCGAAGCACACATTTATTCCCTTAGTAATAGCTACTGACGTCTAGGTTTATTTTTCCTCCTTTCTGTCTCCTATTTTTAAAACAAAAATCTGGGGTAATGAACCTGTGGGTCATCTCCCCCCCCTCTAAATTGGGGGGGGGGGGGGGGTATGTCATCCCCCAAACCTAAGCCCTTGAAGCTGTGTAATGCCAGTCCTTATAGTTCCTCAAATGTAAACATTTATGTTGTCTGCCTTCAGATATGCCTGTTAACTTGCCTTTTCGATGTCAGCCTTATTTGCTGTTAAAAGTACCCAATTTTCATTCCCTCTGATATTTTTTCTTAATTTGCCAAAAATACCTAAATTCAAGGAGTGTGACAACCATGCAAGTAATATTGCGGTGGTTTTCTTAAACCATCAATGAAGATCTCATGGTCACTGCAAACATCAATAGAATCTGTCAACGGCTATGAGTTATTTCCAAGGACCTGAGAATGAGCTGCTGGAGACTGATGATGGACTTCACCATTACTTGTGTCATTCAACAAGCCTCTTCTCCAATTGTCTTCTCCATAGCCTCATACAACTTCCAGCCCAGATGACTGCTGTGGTGCCTGGTTTAGGACTCTTGATTCCTGTTACAACAGATACAAATGGAATGATTCATTAATTATTCCAAACTTTACAGTGCAATGA